AAAAAATGTGTTGCCTACTTAAGTGGGCTGGAAACAGATTTTCCTTGCTTTTATCTCCACTTCCTTTGATGCATTTGTTTACGCCTCTTATCGGCTATTGTTGTGCTGTGCATTTCCGTTTCCGTTCGAGATACGACCTTCCTTTGGTCCTGGACTAAGGACTCCGGACTCGGGACTCGGGATTCAGCACTCCCCAGATGCCTTTCCATATATGGACGAACAAATTATGTGCCAATAAAGTTCCGTCTGCGAGGGCGGCCCGCTCAATTCTTGCCAATAAAATCCATCTTAACTTTTATGGCCCAAAGGAGCCACCCCCTCTAAGCGGCCAAACATGTAACACGGCGAGAAAATATCAGATTTCACTTTGTTTTTAGTTTGTTTGATTTGTGTATTTAATTTGTTTCTTTTAATTTAATATCTTGATGCGGCAAGGATAATTCTTCTATATTATTGCATTGGTCACTTCACAGGATTATTAGTGAGTTTTACAGAACTTAAAATCAGTAACACAAATAAATAAACATTTTATTAAATAAGTAACAATCATTTGGGTATCCATTATAACTATCAAAAGCAGTATAAAGCAGAATATTATTTATTACCCCAATTGCCCCAACTATTGATCTATAAAAACATTAAGTTACAAGCGTTATGTTATAATCAAGAGAAAAAATAGTTCCGAAATATTTACAATGTTACATAACCATTTCGAAAACAAATAGTTTCTTTTCGTGTAGCAGCTTAGGGGCAGCAGTATTGAGCAGAATTGAGCCTGGCCTTTAAAGCTTTGCGCTCTTAAGCCCTTGTCAAATGTCATGTGTCCTGTATCCTGTGTCCTGTGTCCTGTACCCCGTGTCCTGTGTGGGAGCTTATCGCTCGTTGGTTTCTTCAAATTGCAGCTGAACTTGTTCGCACTGAGAGCCACAAGATAAACCGAAATTAAATTAACAATTGAACTTGCAGTGGATATCCGTTTCGAAATGCTTAGAGAATTGTTCAGCCAGATCAACAATCTTATCAAATGCAGCTTTACTGAAATGCTTTGCAGAAAATGCCTATAAATACAAAATGTATGCAGGGCCTTTGTGAAATTGATTATATTTATCAAAACAATTGCCAATAAAGTATTTTGTGTATGGTTTATTGAATTTATTTTTCGGCTATATTTTAAATATTTCTAAAATTTTTGCTGGATTACTTAAAGTACAATAATATGAAAATTCTCTGTTAGTGAAATTTAGACTTAGTGTCGGTGGAAAGCTAATCATTTTTAAATAGATAAAACTAATTTTTCATTTAGTATAATATTTATTTACTAGAAGATGCATAGATGTTATGCAAATTTTACTAAACGCCTCATATAATCAAAATGTAAGAGAAAGGAAATATTTATTGTGAAAGTAACAAAAACCGATTTAAAGGAACCTAAAAATTGCATTTGAATACGACAAGATTCTTAACATAACTGGTATTTGTGAATAGAACTGGAAGGTCATTCTCAAAACCGAATTCCAAAATAGTTGTTCAACTGACATTGCATCGCAAACCAAGCACAAAGAAAGCTTGTTAAAAATTTGTCGAGAAATATGATATGTGACAAATTAGTTTCGTGTTGACCGGTCTGGTGTGCAACCCGATTGTTCCTTCACGTCGAAATTCCGGGCACGTAAGTCCTTTATTTCCAGGGGCGCCGCCAGAAGGGGGAGGGAGGGGGGGGACAGTGGCGTGGTTTTGTCAACAGGACTATTTGAACGGGGGTGAAAAGTCAAACTCGGGCATTAAATTCAATAGACAGGCCACAGGCAGCGCCAACGACAACAAACTTGTTTTTATCCTGCGCCCCCTTTTCGAACCACGCCCCCTCACATCATGTGTGTGCGGAAAGTGATGCCCGTGGAAAGTAAACAAAAAAGTAGGGATAAATAACAATTAGAAAATAGAACAGAATATAAACAAGTGTGGTTAAAATTGTCCCGTTCCGGATTTTTAAAAATATGTACACAGAAAATGTATCGTCACAAAAATTACTCATACGACACATAGGCCAATATAAGCAACTGATATTGTACAACACTGCGTATGACTGATAAATCCTGTTAGTGCGTACACAAACTTAAAAATGCAGTAAAGTGACATATTTTTCAAGAATTTTGCAATACAATTCTACTTCTTAAGTGAGTTGCCAGCTGAAATCTGAGAATAGGGACAAATCCACATTTCTAATGTGAACAGAGCGCAACAGGAAACCAATGTCATTGCGAAAAAAGGGAACAACAGGAAAACAAAAGTATCGTTCAAGTGGTCATCATCAGAATTGTTTTGCTTTTTTTCCTTCCTTTGCTGGTTTTTGTTATTTCTGTTCTGGTTGTTGTTCTATTTGCACTGAATTAATTGACCAAGTTTTGCTTTGAAACTTCGCATCGCTTTGGCCACAAATTGCAGTCATCAAAACTGGGAAAGGGGCTTTGGAGAAAAGAGGGTTTGAAAATGTGGAGCTGGGGATAATGGCTGAAGAGCAGACAATTCAATTTATCAGCTTTAGGGCGATTTTGTAATGGCATTTCTTAAGTGGGATTAGTGGAGTTTTTAAGAATGCACTCCTTAAATCCACTATTAATTTTGATATTCTAAATCGAACGCATTTTTATATTTTTAACATTTTTTCTAAAATTAGTTAAAAAGGATTGTGAATAACTCGAAGTGTCATAAGTTTGCTGTTTGATTTTGTATGTGTCCTGTTTATTATAAATATTAAACAACTTTATGTTGCTTAAAAAACATTTTATTGTGACCTTAAATGGCAAGGTGTAAAAAATCTGATAATAATAATAGTAATTTGTATGCAACTATTAATAGTGGGAAGCTTAATAACATACCATTTTTTAGTTTTTTCGACTTTGTCTATTTTAATTTTCTTGGTTTTTTTAAACGAATTTCGCCATCTTCTTTCCGCCTGCCATTAAAGTTTTTCCGAAATTTCCGAAACGAGAAACGATTGCATCTCGTGGCTTTCAGCGTGGCAGCACTAAACAACAATATCTAGAATATTTATCCTTGGGCATAATTATCTACTACGCACCTCACACACACACACATAGAGCGGCCTACAGAATAACAATTCCCAGGACATGGGTGGCGAAAAGGGGGGCGGTGGTGGGTTGAGCACTTAGTTAGGACCAAAAGTGCCCCATTGTTTTGCCCACAACATGTGGGTGGATGGTGGATGGTGGATGGTAGATGGGTGCGCTGGTGTCTCTCAGCTTAAATTGCTTGGAATTTATGCATCCCGTCGGTGGGAAAAAAAAGCCCCAGAAGAGAGCGACAGATTCTCCTGGGGTTTTCCTCGGGCGTCATAAGTCGAGCTCATTAGAAAGCCGCCAAGAAGGCCTCCCTTTGAAGTGTCTGCCTTTGGAAAGTGCGAAAACTCTAAAAAAAACAAAAACAAAAAACCTGCCAAGTGGCGAAAAGCCAGCAAAAAGCACAAGAAACGCTTTGAATTTTTCATCTCTTATTTTTTGTTTATTTATGTGCTTACTAATTGCAAAAGGTGATGAATAGGCGAAAACTAGGAGGCAAGGTGCACAAAGAAAATTTAGTTTGGTTTTCCATTTCACTTTAAAGAAAGATTTATTATCTTATTTTTAAGCGGAAAACTGGTTCCTTGTAAAGGATTTAATTTAAAGTTAAACAAATATATTTATATTTAAAAAAAAAATGCCAATCGAACTAACTTCACTATTTATTTTTAGATAAAACGGTGAATTAGAAAAGTGTTTAAAAAGAGTTTAGCTTACAGGATCAGGTTTCCCGCCTCATCATCTCTTTTCCTTTTTAAGGACCTGAAAGTGTTTCATTCTGGGGCGCAGGGCACTCAACTTTCATGGCCTCGGCAATTGCAAGGCGTCCAAATGAGCGCCGCTTTTATTGCCTAATGAACTTAAGCAGCTTAACCCCTAAAATGTGGCAACGAGTCTTTCCTGCTTTAATGCATGGCACATGGCCCTGCTAATTGAGTGGCAGGGCTCGCGGCCCCTTTCAGTTCAGGATGTGCACTGTACTTATAAATTAACATTATTTAATTAATTGCAAACGGTAGTCACAAGATCGCTTTTCAATTTGTGCTTTCAGCTGTTACGTTTCATATATTCGTTTGTGGCGGGTATTAATAAGTTACAATTAATATATTTATTACGAATGGGGTCTGATAGCTTCGATACCCTAGTTTTTTTTAATATTATTATTTGAAGGCCTCAATTTAACAAAATTTTGTAAACAATACATAGTGAATTTTACCAAATGTTAGAAATTTCCTGTTCCAAATATGTGGCATGTGGAGTTTTGTATAATGCAGATCGATTGCGTTTTTTATACATTAAGGTTCTGACATCCTTAAATCAATGAACTGAGCAACCTTTTAAATAAATAAACATCAAGGTTTAATTTATTGTTTTTGGGTATTCCACACAATTATCTATGTTTTTAATGCAAATCGCCTAGTGCTTTTCTGTGATTTATGCTCACTGTTTTACTGTTTAAGCTTTTGATGGGCTTTTGCCACTCAACCTATTAGAAAATAAAAAAACATGTAGTTTTAATTAGTCAGTCTTTCTTTTTTTATGCGAATAATTTTCAGAGTTGCCGGAGGGTCTATTGTACCCCTGTGATACCCTGGCCCTGGCTTGTCCTTTTGTCTTTTGCCGTGTCCACTGTCAAACGTTTGATTTGTCATGCAACGAGTGGCGACTGTAAATGTTTTGACATTTGTAATGAGTAAGCAGCGGCAAATTGCCGCTCGCTTGCAGGCGCAACATGCTTAACACATGAGTTTCAGGTGAACTCCGAGCGATGCCAATGATTGATTATCCCATCTATGCATTGGCAGCTCCCTTTGACGCGAACGCCTTCAATTTATGGGCATTTCATTTATTTTTGCAGCCCCAAATGTTTTTTTTTAATATTATCCCACCCGACACAGTCAATAGAAGATACACCATAACTTGGCGATTGCGGCATTTAATATCGGCAACAAAACAGCAACAAATATTGGAACTGAGTGTAATTATGCAGCAAACTTGGCATTAGGTAAATATGCGTTGCATTCTGGTCACTTCTGTCTTGCAAAGGGGGCACCAGAGCTTTACTTTCAAGGCGGTGTTCAGACATTCCAGGCAAAATATATGGCCGCAGTTGGTGATCACTTTCCTCAACGGTGGCTCGTAGCAAATGGGGCATAAGTATTTGTTCCCGTTTTCATCGCAAATGTATTTCTCCTCCCGTGTCAAGTCGATGAAATGCGAGGGCTCAATCCCGTCGGCGGCACGTCGTGAGACCAGCATCTTTATTGGCTTCCAGCTAATTAGACTTTGCCAGGACGGAAATATTTATGAAATTTATTTTTTTTTTTCCTAAATGACTAAATTACCTGTATATGCAGAATATGACAGTATGGTGAAATGGTTTGATATGAGACTTAGAGCCTACTTATGCTTGTGCTCCCTTTGAGGTACGGCCTGTCTGAATGCGTGTTGTAAAATATCGATATTGAATTTGATCACACTGCTGTGTAATTATATTACGAAAATTAAACAATTGGAGTGCATGGTAAGAAAATTTGTTTAAATACCGAGATGCTAAGTATGTTGACCTATGAGCTTACGATGCAAAATACGAGTTAAGCCGCTTGTCGCATTATTTATGTTAAACATATAACGAATACCGATACTTAATGGACGCACATGCCAAGGACTATCGAGGCCATGGCCCAAAAATCAGAAGTCGATGCTATAGTATCTGGTCCACCATATTCCAGGATGTTTACCGAAGCTATTGGCTTAATCGGCTGAGCCTAATTGGTTTGCGTTGACAATGACCTGGGCGGTATTTTCAGATTAATTGATGGGTGGCAAATGTGTGAGCAAACGAAAGTCAAGCTGCCATTTAAATTTCCATTGGGTGGTATCGAACAATACAACGTAACTAAGTGCTTTCGTCGTTTTTTCGCAATTTGACGTTAACTAAAAATGATTGCAAATATATTAAGAATTTAATAATAAATACAAAAAAGTTTTTCCTGTTGATTCCTGTTGAATAAGTTCGAATTATTCAAGGAGATTGGGATACATTGTGTTATAAAATGCTGGCATGCATTAAATAATAATTCAAATTAATATGAACTGAATTTAGTAAAAATATGTGACTGCATAAAAAGGCAATTTAACTCATGAATAACTGTAACTGAAAATCGTTATTATCAAATCCGATTTTCGCTAAGAAATTGATAGAAGTGCTAAATCCAGTTACAAAGTATCTGATATTAAATTTTGTGACGTCACACATCTTCAAACTATTCTCTCGAACCAAATTATTTTCCCAAAGTCAATTTTTCAACACTGCGCCTATATATGTATAGTAGTCTCTTGGTACGCATCGTCACTACGTAAAATTCGCAGCAGAAAGAATTGAAACAATCTCGGTGTGCATTTGTTTAAAGCCCTTATCCTCCCGCAAATGCATTCAAAAGTTTGGTTCATTGTTCATTGGCTTGTTTTTGTGTCAGTTTTATTAAATGGTCTGCGTGGTCGATGGTTCTGAACTGAACTGTTCTGCTCTGTTCTATTGTGCTGTGGTGCACAAAATGGATGTTTTCATTGGGAATTTGCATAATTGAGTTGCCAAAAACTATAAATTCCGCCGCCAGTCAAATCGATTAAATGGCTTGTCCTTGTTTCTTTTCATACATCTAAAAATGCTTTAATACATTCATATTTTTGACAGGCAGGGAAAGTCTGATCCAACGTGAATTCTGAATTCAAATTTAAAATGGTGCGTTGTAAAGAAAAGTTCTTAGCGAAAATTATATTTCTCTAAATTGTTTTTTTTCCGTTTTAAGCTTTGCAATTTGTGCATTTGGTATAGAACGTTTGGATGGTTTTTGTGCTTTAAAGTTATGATTTTTAAAACAAAAGTATAGGTCAATATTTTGCATTTAATGCATAAAAGAAATGTGTCATTTCCTGAATTTCCTGAAAGGGTTTTATTTTTGCCATTCAGAGAAAGACACGTTGCAATCTGAGTTCCAAGGAAGGTTGGGTGAAATTGGATTGGGAAGGTCGAAGGAGGGGCGTTGAGTGGGTTAAGAGGGGAGGTGCAGAAAATTGGGCGCCATTGTTGACATTGTTTCGATTCCCTCAGCACACTGGATGAAGTATTTCAATTCCCCTTTTTCGTCCTTTTATAGAGATTTGCGTTTCGAATATGTTGCCATTTTTGATTTTCGGCCAACGGCAGCACTGAATCCAAATTGTGAGCCATATTTGCATATTTCCCCAGCCAGGAATTTGCCCAGAATGCATGGCAAAAGGGATATGCTGAGGGTTAGAAAGTGCGCAAAGTGCAACAGTTTCAAAGAGTTGCAGAGTTTGTGCTATGCCAGGCAAATGGAATCGAGTTAAGTGCCTGCTGTCGCCAGAAATGGGATGCTTACAATAACACTAAGCGAAATTGGTAAAGAAATTCCTTTAAATATTAAAGAGCACACAGTCGAGTTGAAATATTGTCCTTTAAGTTTTTACCAAACGTATAGTATTATATTTATTAATATGATATATAATGATATATCTCCATGAACTAAAACTTTAAAAATTTAAAATTAATTTAATTGGCCAAAAGGCCACCTGTTTTCAGTGTATTTTTGTGTATTTGAGTGGGTGAGACGAGGAACCGGCATAGATGAAGTTTGCATATCGCGGGGCGAAAAGTTGTGACCCCCAAAAATGAGCAAACTGCCGGCAGACATGAGACATGCCAGTTGACACAGGCAATGAAAATTAACTTACATACGTGGGCAGGGATCGGGGTAATATAGCAGTATATATTACTACCTGCGGTATAGTATGGCATGACCCTGACTTTTGCCGGATGCTTGGCAATTCCATTAAGAGGGAAAACTCTTTATTCGACCTGCTTTCCTCCTCTGTTTGCCCTTTTTTTTGTTGCCATTTTTCCGTTTTCGCATTTCCCCCGAATGTCGAGCAATTTCATGAGTTTTGTATCCCTTTGAACTACAAACGAGCGGCGGCCAAAAAGTTTGGATCACCACGAAAAAAAAAGGTTTGAATAACAAAATTATTGGCTGCACCTGACGATGGAAAAGTTTCGGCCATAAACTCCTCCGCAGAGATACGTGCTGCTGATTAACACTTTTCAAATTACCACAGTCGAGTCAGTCGAGCAAAAGATCTCTTGAAGAGGGTATTAAAATTATCCCCCACAAAAAATGTAAACAAATCTCAATGAGTCAGAAGGGGAGCAGCCTCACACAAACAAGAGCAGGCCGACAAAATTCTTGGAGCGAACTTCATTAAGACAACAATAATGAAACATTCTTATGGGTCGGCAGGTCGAGATATGGCCATTATATCACTGGAAATCTGAAGTCAGTTACAAAAGTTTTAAGCACCCTACAAGATTTGGCTAATAGGCTTTATCTTTTTCACATTTTATTGGTCGTTTCAAAAATTAAACATTAAACATAGGTAATGTACTTAATTTGGGAAAAACCGCACAATTGTAAATATTAAATTTATTCGCATTTAAATATTTAATTTTAAATGTGATGTGAATGTGAATGTGGACATTGAATTAAATCATTTGACATGTGCCATTAGTCAGATTGGCATAAATAATGAATCAAAACAAGCCACGTAAACATTTACAAAATGTGCAAATTATAAATATTATTTAAAATTGTTATGAAATTTGAATTATGTTAACAAGTAACTGGGTGATTTCCAGTCGTATAAAGCCATTAAGCTGCTCTACTCATTGGATTTGAAAGACGAATCTCAGGAATTTGGGAAACATGAAAATGGGTGCTTGGGAAAATGTTCTCCTCGGTCACCCTGAAAAGTCTGCCCCATTTTCCACATACTTATGCCCATAAATCGAGTTTATATACGATAGTGCCGCGTTTTAAGTGTTTCAATGCTCTCCATTATTTTTCGTGTTCACATTTTTTCTTTTATTATTTACGATTATTATTATGTACTCGTTAGCTCTCGGCTTTTCGCTCTCAAGAAAAGTGTTGTGTGTGTGGGTGTGTGTGTGTGTGTGTGTGTCATTGGTTGTGAGGAAAATGGGAAAAGGGAAAACAGAAGGACTTTCTGCCGGTTGTCTCTTGGCTCTGATGCTGCCGCTATTTCAATTAATTTCTGTTTCGCACATTGTTGATGGTGTTTGCTGACTTCGTTCGCCACCAGCGTCAGGAAAATTGAAAAGAAAACTTTCCCAACGAAGGAGGGAGAATTGTGGGCATGGTCAGGGCTGTAAAGTGGTTGAAAAATATCAATGGCGCAACATAAAGCACCTGAAAGTGGGGCAGAGATTGAAGGCAACACAGCTAGGCTAGAAATGTGGCAATCATAATAGTGCTGAAATGTATCAAAGATTCTTTAGGCTTATCAAAAATCCCAGGGTATTTAAAATATACATAATTTAAAAAGATCTACAAACTTTGATGCTACATTATTTATTTGTAAATTTGTATCTGCATCTATATATTAATTCATTTTTTATATATTTATTCATCTACCGATTTATCCACAATTCAATCAATAACAATTATCTGCTGCCGTCTTTCTCTTTTTGCCTGGTTTTCAATTTATAAAACCTGATTAACTTATTTATTTAACACTTTACAGAGTCCTTCGTTCTTTTGCTTCCTTCCTGTCCTGGTTTTTCCTACAGTTTCACTGGTTTTCTCCTTTTTTGCTGACTCATTGTTTAATAGTTTCACGCCACCCCACTGTATTTTCTTCATTTGTCAATCATTTGGTGGCAATCATTCTCAAGAAAATTCCTGAGTTGAATGCACTACACTGAGCATTTTTCCACCCACTCTTTGGCCCTGTGTAAAAATGCAAGTTTTGTTTGGAAATGCATTTTGTAATGTATATTTCTCTGCATCTTTCGTTTTGTGCTACTCCTTGGTGAGGCTCTGGCCCACTTTTAACTCGTATTTATTTCATTTCATTTTACCCGCTTTTCGCGTGAGTCTGGGCGTGATGGAAGTACACATACATTTCTGTTGTGTGGCTTGGCATTTTTCGGAATTGCACGGGAAAAAATCGATCTCAATACAAACACATATATTTTTATACCCTTGCAGAGGGTATTATAATTTCAGTCAGAAGTTTGCAACGCAGTGAAGGAGACATCTCCGACCCTATAAAGTATATATATTCTTGATCAGCATCACTAGGCGAGTCGATCTAGCCATGTCCGTCTGTCCGTCTGTCCGTCCGTCTGTCCGTCCGTCTGTCCGTCTGTCCGTCTGTCCGTCCGTTTATATGCAAACTAGTCTCTCAGTTTTAAAGCTATCTGCATGAAACTTTCCCAAAAGTTGTCTTTCTATTGCAGGTAGTATATAAGTCGGAACGAGCCGTATCGGACGACTATAGCATATAGCTCCCATAGGAACAATCGGAAAAATAATTGAAAAAAAATTATAACTTTGCTGTTTTTTA